CGCTCTCCCGCCGCCTATTTCGCCGCCGTGGCGAGGTCGAGCCGGACGAGGACGAGGGATCGGCGGACGAGTTCGGCGACCTCCCCGCGGCGGATCGCCATTTCGTGCAAAACACCCGCGCGCTCTTCGCGGAGGTCGACCCCGAGCTGCTTTTGGACAAGTTCGCCCCCCACACCCACGTGGTGGGGATCATCCTGTCCGAGGCCACCGGGACCGACGCCACGCCGGTGGAGATTCGCGAGAAACTTCGCCCCTACCACGACCTCAAGGGCAAAATCGATCTCAACCTCGATGAGTACATCGAGGTCCACCATGAGGACTTCAACAGGGCGATTTTTAACTTTTCCGAGATGATCCTCACGGTCTCCGGCAGCGACGACACCCTCGCCGGGCTGAAGCGGGACCTCGCGCAGGCCACCACGTCGTTGGACTCCCACGCCGAGCAGCTTCACCTGCTCCGCCATCGCGCCCTGAAATCCCTCGCGATGACGGCGATGTTGGCGCGAATTCAGGCCGCCCTCCAGGTCCAATCCGAAGTCCGGGGGCTAATCGCGGCCAAACATTACGCCCGGGCGGTCCAACTTTGCCTCAATCTCTGCCAAACCCTGCAGGAGCCGCCGATGCCGCGGATTCGCGCCACCCACGGCCTGCGGGGAAATGTGGAATCCACCCTCCGGGCCCTGCCCAAGGCGATTATTGACGATTTGATGGATTGCGTGTTCTGCAAGCCGCGGCTGTCCAGGGCAAGCACCCATCAAATGCAGGAAATGATCCACGCCAACGAATGGCTGAGTTATTCGGAGCGCGTGGTGGCGCCGGACTTGCCATCGGCGGTGTCGAACTACGGGCAATCCGCAGGGTGGGAGGATCCCGCGCTGCCGTCCCGGCCTGCCGACGGCGATCGCCAAAGTCGAACCGAAGCCACCGAAGACTCGGCGCGTCGGCCCGGCCCCGTTGACGGCCATCCCGAAACGCCAAACCCCGCGGATTGTACAAAGCCGCACGGCCTGCAGGAGGTCCTCGAGCGCATCGCGGACGACCCCGCGGACGACGCGGTCGTGCAGGACTACTTCACCTTCATCCCGCTCTGCGTGAAGAGTCTTTGGTGGCTCGGGAAGATCGACAGCTGCCACGAGGCCTTTTTCTCCCGAGCCGCGCGGCGGATCGAGTGGTTTATCGCGCGCTTTCTCCGACTCTACCACTCGTGGCGGCAAAAAGCGCGGAATCGGGCGCATTTGCCCGGCGGCGATCAAACCACCATCGTCCACGCCACAACCGTCCGGGCCTTTCATCTCACCAGCGAGACCGTCTCGATGGGGGAGGCCATCGCCGCGGTGCAGTCCCGCGATTTGCGCGCCCTTCTTTCCACGTTGTTTACCGAGTTGGAGGCGATTATGCGGAATGTCGACTACCTCGCCAAGATCGTGTTGGTGGTGCACTTTCCCTTTTTGTCCAGCGCGCTCACGGCGCCGTCGCCTTTGTCGCCGGAGCGGTCGAGCGGGGCGTGGGAGTTGTGGGGCGTCCCC